ATATATATAAAATTTTTGAAAAAAACTGGTTCATGAATATTGCCTAATGAAAATTTGATATTAACATTATGAAATTATTGACATTTTTTAGGGCATTTACATAAATGATATTGTAATTGTTATATAATGTTCTAACACAAGTAAATCTAATTTTGAATATGATTTACTTAATTTCATATGGTAACAAATTGTATATGATGATTCATATACAATTTGTTTTTTAAATTAATTTAATGATGATGGTATATGGTAACAAATTGTTTTTTAAAGGTGAACAAAATATCAATATCCTTAACATTGCTAAAACTTGTTTGATCATTATTCAAACCACAATTGAAAACACTTTGATTACCATTCAAATCATGTTTAACCTTCGTCAATCGTTTTTCAAATCATCCATGATCAAAATTTCTTTGTTAATCTTTCAATCGTCGCATGATCCTTTTGGCAAGATTGAAACAAGTTTTGAATGTTCTTCGTTCGTGGCATAAATATGTTTCAATCAAGCTTAGGATATACTTTGATTAATGTTTAAAGCTAATAATATGTTATTTAATGTTCTTCAAGGTTTAGGGATCAAAATGCAAATAATAATATTAAACATAGATGATTAAAATTTTAATGTTACTAGTTTTGAACAACTAGTTGGAGATGGAGATAGGAATTTTACCTTAAAAATTCGTCCATTTTACCATCATTACTAGCAAATGACAATCATCATAGATGAAGAACGAACATCAAGTAGCTTTTTGTTTGATGATTTGCTTATATAATGATTTACTAGCATATTTTTACCATAGAATAACATATATATTTCTCTAATTAATGTTATTATGAGGCATAAAAAGTCATTTTCTTTTATGAATTGAGAAAGCCACAAAGCATTTTAAAAATACTTTTAAATCAAGTACAACATCAACATTTGATTATTAGCAATTTTTGTCGATCATTCTTACACCATGTGGTAGCATTTAGTATAGCCACACCATTATTGATGTGATAGGGCACACCCATGCACAACCAAAATACAATACTTAATGATAGCAATTGCTAGTACCAATTTAAACTCATTATTAATCTTGACATTTAGCAATGATTCAAATTGCAACTATGTTTGACATTTGGTAACATTTTAAACTAATGATATATAAATACTTTAGTAACATTATAAATCCCCACTATTAAATGAGATCTAAATCCTCCTTTGCTTCATTGACTAAGCCATTGCTTGAAAAAACTATGCTATTACTTGAAAAACCCTTTCTTATGATAGAAAGGTTGTGTTTCTAATCCTTTCTTATAGATTTCAATCTCTTCTCCTATGCTCTCGCATGAAGTCGATGCCTCTTGCTCTAATATTTCAATCTCTCCTCTCTTGCTCCTACTAAAGGCTTGTTGCAAACTTTTCACATTGTCACCTTACATTTTCTAAAATTAGAGATTTTTTAAGCTATGAATATACTTTTTACCATTTGTTCGTTTTTTTTATTACATTTTAGTAATATTTCTATATATGCTTGATACTTCATTAACACATTTCCAACATTCGACATGAATCATGAAGCATGACACGGATCACTAGACGATTTTTAAGCAATAAATATTCAAGCTTCGATTATGAGTCATCCAGAGTTCTGATTTCAGCAAAATTACAGCTAAACGGATCAGCTCGACTAGACAGACCAAATGATATCAAAATTAGTTTAAATCAAGTCAAATCAAGCTCAGATAAAGTCATTAAACCACTCTTGAAAGATTTTTGACTTATTCTGATAGTCAAACGAACGTCAAATTTAGCATGCCTATAATTGAATTGAGTGTCTCGATAAAACGAATCCAGCGAGCTCAAAATCTCACAATTCCAACATCGTGAAGGCACTCAAATGTTCATCAAACGTCGTCTGATCGAAGGAATTTCTTCGACCGTCCCATCAAAGTGATTCATATTTGTGCATTAATTGCACCCAAAAAATTATAAATAGAATCTCACCCCCTTATGAAGGGGATGAGAGCCTGATGACCCACATATAAACAACAAATTAAAAATTATTTTTAGTTCGAGTGCATAAGCATTCTCAAATGAGAGCATTCCTTTGATTAATCACACGTGATACTCGAGAATCATCTTGAATAAGACCATTTCAATTGTGCTCTAACATTTATCATAAAAAGATCAAATAATGAAAATTATAGCTTTAATAGAGTTGTATCTAGATTTAACAGAATATTGGATATAATTTGTATTTTTTTTTAACTTTAACGGCCGGATTTACCTTAAATTCATGTTTACATCCTATTCAAACAATGTTGTTAAATGATATATCAAAACAATCAATGTGTTTAAAATGACATATAATCATATGTAAAGGAATTTATGATCAAAAGACATACCATATCAAGTTTCATGATGAATTATTAGACTATGAACTTAACTACTTATGAAGATAAGTCAACCTAACAATATTTCTTAATTTATTTATTATTATTATTATTATTATTATTATTATTATTATTATTATTATTATTATTATTATTATTATTTTTAATTGAATGAGCCTTCAAATTGACAAATATCTACCCATCTTTGGATCAGCTTGTTTGAGTATATCTCCTCCTCTTCTCATTATATATTAATAAAAGAGAGATATTTTGATACATAAATTGTGGGGTGACATATGTCTCATTAATGTCAGCCCTCATTGCATAGCTGTAACTATGTTGAAATAATAGCATAGCTCAAGTATATTATATTGTTGGGGCATTTGCATAGATACCACCCAATGCTTATGTATTTACATATATTACACCAAAATTTTATTTTTTTTTACATTTATACCACCCAAATCGCTCATATTACATGATAAATGCCAAACACACCCTTTAGTGCATAGATGTGAAAGATAAAGTTTCGGTGTTCGATATGTAAGAACAAAAAAAAAATTGAGTGGTATGTATGAAAGACTATATGTACCCCCCTTCCAGTCCATGTGCAAATTCGAATAGATTCGAACCCCCGACACGAGGGTCTTACGCCAAAGCAGCCACCAATGAGCCAAGGCATGCGCACGATCATTATATTAATTGATCTTATATTCTATGATTGAAAACTTGAACATTATAACATCTAAAAAATAACATAAAAATTTATAATTCAATCATTTTCTTTTTTTTGATGACATACTCTCATTAATCAATCATTTATCATTTTGATCTTCTCTTTAAGTTCATCATTTTATAGAAGTTTACCTTTTGATGCTTAGGTGAACTTGTATTAATGTAATTATCAAAATTTAAGGTTTTAGATATGTAAATACATACATATTGTGTACCATGCATGGCCATTTTTCTTTATAAAAAAATGACTAACTTTAAATTAAATAAATAAAATAAAATTGGCACATGCATCTTAGTTATCATGCACATTTTGTCACATTGACTTGATGACACATGTATCCATTGTGTTGGCACACTTTTCTTCGCTCCACATACTATATTCGCACATGTCGTTACAAATGGCCGACAAAGCGTTATCATGATTGACTAATATCATTCCAAGATAATTTACATGAAACGACAAAATCTAATATTCGGGACCTACAAAAATAATGTATAACTTTTCACCAAAATAGATTTGAGATGATAATAGCCTTAGAATACTCAACATGCCAAGGGATTGAAGTTTGGTTGCACTAGACTTGTTGGTTTAGATATTTAAGTGAAGTTGTGGCTATGAAAAATAGGAATGGATGGATGGTTATATTTGGCATATGATGGCACTTTCAAGTTGTTTCTAGTCATATGCCATGATTTCATATGATACATTATATGGGAAATATACATGCATATGATTTGCTTGTTTTTTTTTTTTAAATAGCAATTTATATCATATAATTTTTATTATTCATAAGAAAATTAGTGTTTAGAGTTGCTTGAAAATTTATGGATGCCAAATCATGCATTTGAGAGAAGCAAACACATGATTAGACTTTGAAATTACTACATGACTAGAGCTTGTTAGTATTTATTAGTTAGGAGGGTTGTTTAGTTTGGTAAAAAAAGGGCATAAAATGAAAGGAACACATGAATTTTAAAAAAATGGGGGCTTGTTTTGAGGAAAATGGAATGCAAAGAAAAATTTTGAAGTTTGGATTCTCCTCTTTAATTTATTTTCAATGTATTTGGAATTCGCCCAAATTTTGGTGAATTTTGATTGAGTGAGTTTCAAATGTAACACAGCGTGAAACTTTGTTGGCATCCTTCCAATCCCATTGACCAATTGTTGGTTGTCATCTCCAGTTCTTGCCTGTCCCGATAGCCAGCTACCACATGGCTTGGTTGTTAGTCGTGCCCCCGCTCATTGTATGTTGTCTCTTAACTTTATTAGCAGTTGCCCGCCAACCATCTAACTACTATTGATCTTTTGACTTCATTTTTCTTCAAAAAAAATGAATATACAAACGTAAACATATGTTTTTTTTTTCATCGAACCAAATATTCTGAATTATTTCAAATACAATACACTAAATTTATTTTGTACTACATTCTTTTTTTGCCAGACAAATAGCCCTCTAGGAGTTCACACTTGTTTTTTTTTTAAACTAGTATAGTTCATTATCTGTATTGAAATGTCAAACATAGTCTATTTTTACTGTGATTACCAGTGGATTTTGAAAAACTCTATTAGATCAAGTGCATTATTTGACAAACATTTTAAATTTCAAACCACTCATAAAGCTGTATCATTTAAAATGAAACAAAAAAAAATAATTGTTGGTGGAAATAAACTTTGAAATTTGTCAAAATAATGAAGTCAAAATAATCCTCTTACCTTTGATTTGCAACTATTTATGATGTTTTATTGCATTAACATGATGATTAGTTAAAAAAAAAAAAGCATATTATTAACATTTCCAAACAACCTCCAATTCGATCTTTACATTTTTCTTAAATAATTGCACGTCTATTGAACCCTTCTTTATAAAACGTTTATGACACTAGATAGCTTTCAAAGTGAAGAACATCTAGATACCATGGATGTGGCTTGTTATTTTCCATTCCTTAGTAATTTCAATCTTTTATCTTTAATACTTCTTAAAAATATTTTAGATAATCCAACAAACAAATATTTTTCATCTCCTCCATTGAATTCATAGCATTGAGTGCTTTAAAATAGAATATTTTTTATTTTAGGAAGCAACTTTATTAATGACATCGCCTTCGTATCATTGCATGACCATCACTACCAATCATCATAGCTAACCTTAGTTGTGTTGGGTCTATCAAGTCATCTTAAGGGGGATCATTAATTTAAATTGTGATTAGAGGTCGGTCATCACTAAATATATCATCTTAGCATAACCTAATTCAACCATTATTAATAAGAACATTAAATATTGTGGTATTATTTTGGATTAGGAATGAAGTACACCACTAAAGATTTATAAATTGATTTGGCCAATACATGTTCACACAAATACTCATATCGTTCTAGTAGAAAAGTGAATTGAGCCTAAGATCGTTCTCACGAGAATTGGCATAAATACTATTTAGAAAGCTAAATACTAGTTTAAATAATCAAGTTTTATATCCAAATCACAAAAAAAATATACATTTAATGAAAATTTCTTAAAAGTCCATATTCAATTCAAGATAAACCTTTGGGCATGCAAAATTTTTAATTCAAATTTCAAATTAAATTTAAAGCAATAATACTGTCAATTAGAAGTAATGATGATTTCGTAATATCCATCAATAATTACAACCCCTAATTTTAAAAGATCTTCAAAACCCTAGTTACTTATGTCCAAATGAAATTTAGTACCTTATTGATATCTCATACTTTGAAAAACTTTTAAATAAGTGTATGCCCACTAAAGCTTTCTAAATGATATTAGTAGAGAAGAAAACACATATTTTAGTATAATCTTAATCTATACTCATAAAGAGAGAAAATAAAAGTGAAAATTCTTAAATAAAAACAGAAATCACTTGGCATAATATGCTTTTACACTTAACACACGAAATTTCTTCCTTTAAACAAATTAGTTGAAAGATTTCAAATACAAATAGAAAGAAATAAATAGTAGCAAAGACACCAAGAATTTTTCAATGCAAGTTATAGTTTTTATTGTGGAAGACTTCCTAATTCATTTGCTTTGCTCCCTTCACACTCATAATGTACTTACTCACTCTCACCCAAGCCTTTCAAAGACTTCTCATACACTAATAGGATCTCCTCACTAATGTCCCCTCTCCATATTTGAATTCATATCAGCACCAATAACTCCCCTTCACATCTTATAACTTGACATTTAAAATAAATAATTATTTTGATCTAGTTATTGCATTGTGGCGCTCTAGGTATAGCATTGCATCACTCATATATCAATATTGAGGTGTTAATCTCTCTATTTTCTGGTTCCTTGCGCCATCTTCAATACTGTTGCAATGCTTTGGAGGATAACATTGCAACACTAGTCCTTGGCATTGCGGCACCTTCCTCTTGAAAAAGTTGTTGGGAAAATTCCCAACATGGCACCTAGGCACCTGAGGTGGTGCCTAGGTGATGTCCTTGATTTTTTTCATTTCTTCATGAATGATCTCTTGATTGTTTTTTTGAATAAAAATATATAAAGCATTTTGGTATTTGTATAAAAACATGAAATTAAGATTGATTTAGACAAAATTTTTTGAGTTTTTTTTTTTGACATGAGAAAACTTCACTTCTTCTTATTTTGCAATGACCTATAAAAACTCAAATGGGTTAGTGCCAATTAGAGTAACTTTCAGTCACTTAGCTCTATGTTAGGTGTATTTCACTTAGGGTTAGGTTCTATAAGTCCTTAGGTATTTATGAGTGCTTATAATCAAGTGAGGATTGATTCGTGGTCAGATTAGCTTGGATTAAGTTGATTAAATGGTTCAGAATGAAACCAACTAGGCTAGATTGTATTAACATAAGTTAGTTGGTTTAATTCAATCTAAGTTTAAGCCCTTGGGTATTGAAGTTTTTTAATGCACCATAGGTTAACTCATGATGGAACTACGTCCATTGAAAGCCAATTAAGCCAAGCTAATCTTAAAAAGTCACATAGGCTAGACTTATATCCATACCAATTGATCTGGATCTATTTTTGGCTAAGATGAATTTAATTAACATCACAGTGTAACCATAAGTTTAGGCATCGACCTCTAATTGGGCTACATACCTTTGTTGGGTTATGTGTAATTCATATTAGTTTAGGACTTATGCCATTAAATCTAGGGCCTCAAAAAAGTTGTATATATTCCATTGAACAAAACTAAGTCAAAGTCCATAGTAGATCTTATCTTAGGTCAAGTTATACTATGGTTGATTAGGCTTAGTTTGAATTGGGCTAAGCTAACAAAACCACTTAATATTTGGATTAAGAGTCCATTAAACTAATCTTAGTCATGTGGAGGATTAAATACATAATATGTTAAATTATACTTGAAGTTTCTTGCCATGGATCAATTTAGTGTAACTCAAGGTACGGGTTTGAATTGATAAGTTTAACGATCAAAAACTTTGATTGAAGTATAAAAGACAGGGTCACCAATGCTTTGGTTAGTTTAATGACATCTAAAGTATGGTTAACCAAAGACTAATGATGCAAATAACATAATGCTCTTTTACACGACCATGTTAGATTTTATTAAAGTTAGGGTATTCAAAATAGAGTAAGAATATCCATATGCGAAGTCTTTTATAAGTTCAATCATCAATTGTTGACGACTTAAGGGCCTAATGCATATGGATACGAGCGACCTTAACTAGCGTCTAATTATTTCTATGCCTTGGTTAATCTAGGTTTGAAAGAAA